TCTTTATTAACTTCAATTCTAGCTCTAACATCTTTTCTCTAACTCTTATTTTTCTTACCATTGGTACACTTGGCAAATACACTTTGTTGTTATTATATAAAAAAATAACACAAAACAGGCACAAAAGCTTAAAATTAGCAGAGGAAGTCACATGGAAAGCCTTGACTACAGCTTTGGACAAGGAATTGAATGCAAAACCATATGGGTTACCTGAGTGCTGATGAAAAGTACACACAAAAACACACAAACAATGGGCTTGGCATTTATATTCCAAAGTTTCATCATTATCAGTGGTGGTACAGCCCATATAGGGCCCTGGCCTGCTACACAACATCCGTCCCTTCGGATCGATCCAGGGCTTTCTGCCTCCATGCGCAAACCCACAGCTGGTTTAAGTCCTTCTCCACATTGTCAATCGATGTCAATCTTGGTTGACCATTGGGCCCCAAAAGTTTCTCTCTGTAGATCACTTTTGCTGCTCTACAATCCAACATCATATCAATTTTTCCTGTCTCATGTATTCTAAAGCAGTTTTAAGATTTTAGGAAAATCATGTTGGAATTTTTCATTTGGATTTCAAGTTGTTCGAGTTCCAGGGTGTTCATATTCCAGGGTTCCACTGTACTATATAAGCCCAATATATGCCTAATTTGTGTCTTTTAATTTATTTACAACCACAAAAAGGACTCATTCTTTACATAAATAAATTCACTTACACTGTATGATAACCAAGACAGTGGCTGCTTGTCTTAATCCAGTAATCAGCAGACCCATTAGTCAAAAGAGCAAAAAATCAGCAGCAGGATGATAAACAAATTTTTTTGAGAGCCAAATTTCTTTTCAAGAACCTGTCAAGAACCATTTTTTGGATGACTGGCCGAGCAGCACTCAGGTCGCCAAAGAGCCTCATGTGGCTCGCGAGCCGTGATCTGCCAACCACTGTCTTAGGCGATGTATCCTATAAGACTTAGTAGCAGTAGGCTCTGGGATCTAAAACTATTCACTATTTAGGGATATAGCCTAGCTTTAGTGCATGTGCTAAGATCCTGCAATCATCTATGATAAACAAGAAGATAATATGTGAAATCTGATGATTAAAAAAATGTTAAAAGGAAATTTTGATCTAATAAACACAAGGGTTAGGCTAATCCAGGGATAGAATAATTAGTTTAAAGCTCAGGTAATAATGAGCTATGTTTGACAAAACAAGGTTCAATATTTTCTACAGCCTAATTGTGGATAGAAATAATGATCAATATTTCCAGGAGATGTCAATTTTCAGTTTTAAGCTACTTTGTATATTAAAATGCTTCCAGTGCATGCCAGGTTTGGTGCATGTATCCGAGTATCCTATTTTATATCCTCCTAAAGCCATCCTTAGTATTCTTCTGTATTTAATTAGGTGCAGACTGAAAGACGAATCAGAAATTTTAATAAATATAAGATGCTAATGAAAAAAGTTTAAAAAACTTAATATTTAGAGAAATATCTTCACTATTTAATACTTACACAATTTTTTAAAATTTCATATCTGCAAGATTTTTCAAATGACAATGAGTTTTATGGAATTATCTGATGGCAATGAGAAGTTTAATGCCTAGAAGATGAATGCTTCGCATAGTATGCAGCAAAAGGATCGAGATATAAAAGGATGGCTAAAACGCAAAGGTGGGCGGATGAACACATGGTCTCGCAGATATTGTGTTCTGTCAGACAAGTTCTTTTTCATGTATCTTAAGGAGGATGACAACAAGTTTATTGACTGCATCACTCTTAATGGGCAAACAATAGTTGAACCTCCTATTGATCCAAATGCTGAGTCTAAGCGTTGCTATTTCGATATCATCAGTGGTGAGTTTTTCTGATGTTTAACATTTTTTTAACTTACTTTATTATCCCCTTTAATCGAAAGAATAGTGAATTGGTTGATTGTTGCATTTCAACTTTTTCATTAGACAATTTTACATTGAAATAGTTCAACAATTTACAATATACCACATTTCTTCTAACAATTTCTTAATTTTGCAGCACAAAATCTAGAACCAAAATTTTAAAAAAACCTCTCTGACAAGTGTATTAGTTTACTTCTATATAGCTTTTTTTAAATGCAGCATTTTTGTACAGAATATTATTAAATTATTTGGAAGAAAATGTATTTATTTTTTTAATTTTCACTTAAACTAGTTGTAGCAGAATTACTTCAAATACTAGCGGCTACAATAACTATGTAGTTTATTATGGGACTGTAAAAAAGAAATGTATGTTTAAAGATATTAGGCTAACTGACCATTGCCATGGGTGACCATGATTGTACATCATAACTCTAAGCTTTATTAATAATTTTGAAAGATATATGGAAACAATTACACACAATTAATCAGAGTAGGTGAAATAATTGGTAATAAACTCAATGATAAAGCTTATTCCTCACATGTGTCATAGTGCAGATACCAGTATTTTAACATTTGTTTTAAATATTGATTAGCTTTATATTTTCAGATAAAGTTATTTGTAAGTTACACAACTCCTAGAAACAAAGTTTTTTGTATAAATCCTTTATAAAATGTATTACTGAGCAATGGGAAATTTGACAAAACATGCACATAAGTAAGTCACTTTATAAAAATCCCAATTAGTGCCACCCCCCCCCCCCCCCCACCTCCCCCCTCTAGGCTCACAACCTCACATTTTTTTCATGCCCCTGAACAATATTGATTTTCTAGTGACCCACCCGCTTTAACATGTCAGATTTATTTCACCAACTATTTCAGAAAAAACAGAAGAAATAATTACACACCAAACGCACTTGCAATATTTTTTAAAAAGTACTGCAATTATCTGGAATTTTATTTCATGAAATCAACGTCATCATATTTCCTTCATCTCCCCTTGAAAAACATGAAAAACTGATTTTTGGGGGTTGGGGCTGAAAATTTGACAGTATGTTTTTTCATTGATAAATTGTAAATATTTGGATTTAATACTTATATAGAGAACTCTTTTTATCTTTAAGATTGTATTCTTAATAAAAACCTCACCATTTGGTTGACAGCAAGTAATCAGTATCTAATTTGTTTATTTCAAATTCTATATTAAAATTCACTTTAATAATCAAATATATTAAGAAATTCTTTAATTATACTTGCATTTTGTTAGTCCCATGCATTTTAAATTCATCCCTGAAACTGAAAGGGGATATAACGAGAAAAATAGTTAAATATACTAAAATAACCAAACCAATAATAAATTATAATGAAATTTGCTAAAATACAATAGCTGGTTAAATACCTTTTAACTTACAAAACATATAAGTTTTACTACAAATAAATAATCTATTAGATAATAATACATGCACATTCATCATTACGCCATTAAATTTGGTGTATCAAAGATAATTCCTTATTTTTATGATGATACCTATGGATTCATTATTATTATGTGATATATATTTTATTCTTTGTCAGCTTCAAATAAGAATCAAGTTGATGTAATATCACTTTGTGCTGATACAGAAGAACTGAAAAAAGAATGGATTCGTGCTCTGAAAAGAGCATTATATGCTGATAAGGGTGGAGGTAATGATACTATTAAAAACATAGTTTTACATTGCTGTATATATATATATTTATTAAGTATAATTTGAATTATTACATTGATTTACTTTTAAAATCATCAATTAATTATAACCATATGGCTAAACTATTTTGTAAACTTTACTTTTTAACAAAGGTAAAAGAATGAAATTCGAGTCAATTTATAAAAAAAATTATAGTAACTTATCAAGTGTAAAATGATTTTGTTTCACAAAGATATATTTCATGAAATCAGGACCGTCATTATCATAACTATTTATTTGCAGAATTGACAATATATTAATCCCTAAATGTGATGGATAAATTGCTGAGGGGATTTTAAAATGTAAATTGCTTTTAAAAATGTATTGGCCTTCTTGAAATAAATTAACAATAATTGTTAATATCATATAGTTTTGAAGTACAGAGTCCTTAGGTCTAGAAATTAAAATAAGTAACATTTATACACATTTTTGTTGTTGTCAACACATGAATTAATTCTTTTCATTGACGTGATTACCTTTATTGGTTAAAATCTGAACATTTGTTTATTTGAACAGCTCTCTTTAGTCAGTCTTTACAAGAAATCTTAAACTGGGAACGCAATGAAAATAGACGAATTCCTTACATTGTTGATGAGTGCGTGGAGTACCTGTACAAATATGGTTTGGAAGTGGAAGGAATTTTTAGGTTTGTCATTTCTGTAAAAATTATGCATTTTTAAATGATTTGGGGAACTTATTCTCTTTACTCTCTACTTTTACTTACAATGTAAAAAAAAAATTATTATTTTTGGAAAATATTTTGGCATATTTTTGAAAATACATTGAAATGTTGGAATAAATTAATATACTTTATAGCCAATGGACACTGTTACTGTTTAACCTGTTAACTCATTAGTACGGTATATGAAATAAGTTATTGGCTTATTCATAATATCCGTTGCTGCGCTCTGGAGTAGCATGTCTGCCATTGCAATCAAAGTGTAGCATGCTTGAATTTTTTTGGGGGGAAATCACAGCTTAGGTTAAAAACCTATTGGGTAATAGATTCAACAGCCCAGTTATGAAGCCTATATTAGGAAGACAGATGGTAAACTCAACATGGGATAAAAACAGCTTTACACTCTGTGACAGCACACAATAGAGGTGCCTGATGTAATTTCCATTTTTTGTAAAATAATTCTTGATTCTTTTCAATAGATTACCGGGACGTCAATCAGCCATTAAAGATATCATTTCAAGATTTGAGAAAGGGGAAAAGATTAAGTTTGAGGATGAGAATGTGGATGTTCATGTGGTTGCATCAGTTTTAAAAACATTCCTAAGGGATTTGCCAGATTCCATAATCCCCTGCCAGTATTTTCAGAAATTCATGAACATAGCCCTGCGCTTCATGGAATCAAATGATGCTGAGACTAAGAATTGCTGTGCTGCTGAATTGGCTGAGGGCATGAAAGTCATCCCAGAGGATAACTATGTTATTTTGAAATATATCTGTCGCTTTCTGAGAGAGGTAGACTAATTGTTTATTCACAGTTTAGGAAATCAATGCAACTTAAGATTTTAGATTAGGTTGTTTTTGTTTTTGTCAGTTACAAAAATTTCTTTAGAAGCCTAATAGGTTTTTAAAAATCACTCACTATATTATTTATATTAGATCTATTTTTACCTTATTTCATATTAAGGCATAGGCCTTCGCAATGCCAATATTATTTGTTTTTGAAGTTTGATCTATTTAAAAAGAACAGAAAAGAACTGTCTATGATTACTTTTAGAAAAGAATATCAGAGTCTCTTCTAAGTGCTTTTTTTTTTTCTTTTGTAATTTGTACTCGTTACAAGACAGTATCCTGCACAACTGTATGAAGCGGGTTTATATTTATTGTTTTATCTCTTACATATTGAAATGGCAGAACTCTTTCTAAACTCTGCATAGGTTGGTCTTTATGAGGCTTCCAACAAGATGTCAATGATGAGTCTTGGCACAGTGTTTGGTTATAACCTCATTCGCCACATTGACAAAGAGAATTCACAACTGTTTCTCTGCACAGCAGACCTGGGTCAGAATCTTGTGTATATGATGTTGGAGTATTTCCCAAAGGTTAGTGTTGACTTCTGATCTTATCCTAGAACTGCTTTTTATTGGGAGAAGTATGGTAAAAAAAGTTGAAATTTTATATTTCATTTTTTAACTGTAAACAATTATTAAATGCTGATCATAAAGTGCATATTGGTAGTTTTTATTGATACCCTTTCAACTTTAAAGGCCTTTGACAGACAGAAATTTTGAAAATCAAAGAAATCCAAATAGTGCATCGAGTTGGGTATATAAAGAAGATTTTAATTTAAGATGTATTATAACAAGAATCAGCATTCATGTATGACCAGCCAACTGAATCTATCGAACCCACTCCACATTCAGTTATATAAATATATTCAAGTCTGGGCTTCTTATTTTAAGTTCCTGATCAGCTGCCTTTTGATTCATTTTTATCTGACCTCTTATTCTTTTTCAATAATCAATCTTAGTTTCATTGTTCATACATGAAATAAAAATGTTGATCCAAGACATTAAAGTTAATGACTAATCAGAAAGTAAATTTACCTATCAATGTTTAGGACAAATTTTCAGAACTAGATAATTTTGTAACTGAATTTTTTGTTTTACAAAAAATTATTTCTATTAAAAGATAAATTTTGATACTCAGGTGTTCATGTTAGAATACAGTGACAAGGGTGATGCAGGAAACAATGTCCCGACCTCTGATCTGCTCCGGATGTCACGTGTCCTTGATTTCCCATCCGTAATTCCAGTTAGCCCCAATGTGCCAACTTTCAAAGAACTTGAAGGTATAGATTTTAACTGTGGTACAATCACCCCGCCAACTTCTCGCAGCAGCAAAGGTTCTCAGAGCTCACTGACCACTAATGACCTTGCATCTGTGCCTCCACCAAAACATCTTCTGGAGGCTGATGAAGGTTCTGATGATGTCTTCAACAAACCCAATGTTGTTTTAAGAAAAACCAGAAACTTTAATCTCAACTTGTCAGAGCCTGCAGACACTGGCCTGCCCCCAAGTGGCCCGAACTCTCCTTCACTTAAAAGTGGGGATCATCCTGTTCCACCCAGAAGAAAGTCAAGAATTTTACGAAACAGAAACGTCAGTGACAGAAAAAACCCTGATGGGGGATCGCTGGATGGTGAGAGGTCGCCTAGATCTCCCATGAGCCCAGTGGTTTTAGATCCTGAGGATGTCCTGACAGCCTTGAGTCATGCAAATCTCCCAACTGGATGTCCAGCACTAAGTCAAGCCGGCTCTTTAAAAAAATCCCAAAAGTACACTAGTGAAAATACTTGTACAGTGAATGGATCCACATTAGTGGTGAACAGTGTTGTTTCTAATAAAGAGATTTCAGTTGGTGAATCATTGACAGATGAGAGTGGGAAAGTTGGCCCCAGTACAAGTGATCTCCATATACAAGTGAATGCTTTGAAAGGAGAGCTCGCCGCAAAGAGGGATCACTACAAGAAGCAAGTGAATGCCTTGAAAAGCCAGCTGACTGATATCAGGGAGAAGTATGAGCGCAGGATAGAGACAATGGAAATTGAAATTAACTCACTGAAGCAGGAGCATGAGAAGAGCCTATCCGCCGAAAAGACGGCATGTGCCCAAGTGGTTGCTGAAGTAGTTGAACTCAAGGAAAAACTTCACAAGTATCGTATGACGTATGGTGATTTGTGAGTACTGTTTGCAAGTCATTCAACAGTAACAGCCTAAAGTCAGCTTAAACTGCAGAGTCAGGAATGATGAGATTTAGTTAGTCTATAATTGATCAGTTATATGAGGTACCAGAGGGTGTAGATCCATTTGTCATATCTTTAGTAAATAATTATAAATTTTATGGTAAGATTTTTCTTGTTGTTAACAAATATGTTCTTTAATAGGCATTTGGTGTCAATTACTTTTTTAATGCATACATTTTTTTCAAGTGCACAAAAGTTGTTTGTTTTGAAAAATAATTATTGAAACTTGAAGATGTCTTTGATTTACTAGACTTTGGATCCACGTTACACATTTTTTTTGACATGCAACTCCAGAGAGAGGCATACAATTTTTTAAATTCAATCGGTAGAAAATAACAGCACTCGATTTTTAATTTATGTCATTTTTTAAAAAGAAAGTTTACAAACTGAAGTGCAACATTATGGAATTTTTTTTATTCCACTATGGCAAGAATTACTTATTCATTTTTCCTTTTTTATGCTATTTTGTTAGTTATTTTCAACATACAAATCTTAAAGGAATATACTATGCCATTTAGTTTTCAAACGTCAGCTTTGTTAATTATTATCTAGACTTGCAATCCCGGGGTAGTTTTTTTTAAATCCCTGGTTCACAAGATTCAATTCCTTCAGTCCAACATGTTTAAGTCAGAAACAGAAGCTTTCAAATTTTTCCTTGAAATATTACCTCATGCAGCACATATCATTTTTAGAAACCACACACATTTAGTTCACCACTACATTAGCTCCACTCCACCCTCTATAATATATTTGCAATGAATCCTTCCCAGTATATTCAAGTAAGAAAAAGATTTTACAAGTTTCATTTTAACTTGATACTTTTTTAACTGTATGGGCTTTGAAATTTCATCGCAAAGATTACAGTTAGTTAATATTTTTGTTATCAAATCAACTTTAACGAGTATATTTTCTAAAAAGTTTTTATCACAGCTATTAAATTTTATTGTACCATTTTTGGAAAGGTAATATATTAATAAGACACGAACAAATTGTGTCAATAGAACAATATGAGTTAGCTTTAATAATAATTGTACATTATACAGAATTAAACGTTTCGGCACATGCCTTCATCAGTACAAACAAACACAACACATTTAAATAAGTATAAATTAAATTTACATAATGTCAATA